AGATTCCTCTTTTGCAAAAAAAAAGAAAAGAAAAGAAATGGGGGTGGAGTGAAATAGTAGGATAAATTCAGCCCCTTACCTGCCCTTGTGGTGTGATCCAATAGTAAGTACACCAGAGTGGGAGAGCAGAAACCTGAGTTGTAAGGAGGCTTTGAGGAAAACTAAAAAGCCTGGCTGCAGCAACTAGCTGCCTAGTTCTACAGTGCCCTCTTGTGATCAGTTGATGTCATGCATGATTTTTCTTAAATTCAAGAATGAAACGCCTGCTAAGCGAAGATTCAGTCAGGGTCACTCCCGGATAAAGTAGATTAGGTCTGTTTTCTGACCACTCTCTATTTCAGCCTCACACTCACTGACCTGAACTCCTTGTGACTGAAGTAGACAGAGCGTGGATTTGGGTGTCAGGCTGATCTAAGTACCAGCTCCACTTCTTAGAGAGATGTCAGCCAGGAAGCCTGCTGTCTTCCAAAAGAGGGACTCACGGAGCACAAGGACCCTGCTCCCAAGCTTCTGCCTCTGATCTTTCCCGTTAACAGCTAGAAGCCCAACTGCATCACTGCACTGAAGGCCAACTTACCACACCAAGCAAACTCAACATACTCAGACGATGGTGGCCCACATCCTAGTCTACAGTCCAACAGTGTAACAGGATTTGTTTTCCTTGAAACCAGGACAGTGCATGGTATTAACTGCCTGAGGCTGTTATTTTTCCAGGAGAGAGTAGCTATTCAAGACAGTTTCACAGTATGACAGAAACCTCCATGACCTGTCCCATTAAGCACTGAGTAGTGATAGAGGGCTGAGGGATCCCATAGAAATTTCTGGAGGAAGTGACACTTGAGCCTAGTCTTGAGTACAAGTAAACCAAGTGAAGAGAAGTTTGGAGATAAGGTCTTCCCACAGAAGTCCAACATGAGTGAAGCCAAAGGCCAAAGAGTTCAGCCAGTGTTAGAAATTCTGTGCTATTAAGGCAAGACTGAGCTGTGGTTGAGAGGTCAATAGGAACCCCTCATGGGAACCTGTTAAGGAACTTGGTCTTTCATTGTATGGAAGGTAACTTACTGAAAGGTTGAAAGCCAAACATGACATGACCATATCTTGCATTGTAGATTAATCCGTTGCTCTGATGGCTGGGATGGACAGACGTGCCAGGGTAGAGATGGGAGGCAGGCAGGAAGACAGAAGAGGTTGTTGTCTTAGTACAGTAGAGACTTGAGAGCTATTGGAGTTTTGAGGGAGCTAATAATTAGCACTCCTGTTCCACAACTGAGTTCTGAACCAATTGAGAAAAAAGGCAAACTGGTAAACACACAGTGGTGATTTTTATTGCTGACATAGGCTAAGTGGACGATGTAACTTTTATCTACAGACTGTAGTTAACTTCTTTGGAACTCCAGAATTACTCAGATTTACCCACCAAACCATTGGCATTATTGACCACCCCAGGCTTCTTTACGTGAGGCAGACACCTCTAAAACTTACAGGAAAAAGCAGAGCAGAACCCACACGCCCTCAGGCTATCAGTCTGCATGTCTCTGGGCATAGAGAATAAAGGGACAGAGAGAGGGCAGATGTGTTACACTAATTAATCTTTAATATAGAAATATCCAAGGTAGAAAAGAAGCATTCTTTTCTTACATTTCCTTTCTTTTTGTTCTTTTCACCAACTAGACTTAACCATTAAAGCCATAGAGAACAACACAGTTTATCACTCCCAAATCGAACTACCTTTGGGATCACTGGAAGCAGTTCAGATTTGGACCCAAAAGGCTCTGAACGGAGTCAGAATACATTAACTAAGGTAACTCCAAGGCTTCTGTAATTCTAAGTCTGAAAATTCACTCCATTCCCCACAGTATGCCCAATCACATGGTCCGTGGTGGCTAATTTTAGGTGTCAAGTTAACTGGATTAAGGATATCTAGAAACCTGGTAAAGCATTATTTGGGTATGCCTGTGAGGGTGTTTCCAGACTACTGTAGGGTGTGAGTCTGAGGGGACTAGGTGAGCTACACCTTCAATGTGGACCAGCATCCAGTTGACAGAGGGCCCAAAGAGAACAAAAACAGAGAAAAGGCAACATGTCTGTCTCCCTCCTAGAGCTGGGATACGCTCTTTTTTCTCTGTCCTTGGACATCAGAACTCCTGATGTTCTGATGAAGTTGTCCTCTGAGGACAGAGAAGAAAGAGTCTATCCCAGCTCTAGACCTTTGGACTCCAGGGCTTACACTAGCAGCCCACTGGGTTCTCAGGCCTTAAGCCTCAGACTGAAGATTTTATCATCAGCATCCCAAGTTCTGAGCTCTTTGGACTTGGACTGAACCACATCAAGATCTCCATAACTGCATGAACCAATTCCCCTAATAAATCCCTTCATTTATCTATATACATATACTATTGGTTGTCTCTGGAGAACCTCAACTAATACATGGTCCAACCTGGCATGTTGGCACATTAACGCCCAATAATAAAATGCCAAGAACAGAGATGCCCAAATCCACATATAATCCTGTCCTAGTATCAAATTTACTAGAACTTAAATCTCTCTGCAAATCAAAGTTCAAAAATGTTGGCCGGGCGCGGTGGCTCACGCCTATAATCCCATCACTTTGGGAGGCCGAGGCTGGTGGATCACGAGGTCAAGAGATCGAGACCATCCTGGCCAACATGGTGAAACCCCGTCTCTACTAAAAATACAAAAAATTAGCTGGGCGTGGTGGCGTGTGCCTGTAATCCTAGCTACTCAGGAGGCTGAGGCAGGAGAATTGCCTGAACCCAGGATGCAGAGGTTGCGGTGAGCCGAGATCGCGCCATTGCACTCCAGCCTGGGTAACAAGAGTGAAACTCCGTCTAAAAAAAAAAAAAAAAAAAAAAAAAAAAGTTCAAAAATGTTAAATTCCACTAGAATTAAAATCCAAAACTAAATACCCTTATTTTGTGTTAAGAGTTAACCAGCCTGGGCAATATGGTGACACCTAGTCTCTATAAAATATTACAAAATTAGGCCTGGCATGGTGGCTTACACCTGTAATCCCAGCACTTTGGGAAGCCAATCAATGGCAAAAGCCTCATCAGATAAGTTATTTACAAAATACAGATGAGGTCAATATTAATCAAGAAAATTTTAGGCCAGGCCTGGTGGCTCATGCCTGTAATCCCAGCACTCTGGAAGGCCAAGGCAGGTGGATCACTAGAGGTCAGGAGTTCAAGACCATCCTGGCCAACATGGTGAAACCCCGTCTCTATTAAAAATACTTAATAATAAAAATTATTAGCCCACCTATAATCCCAGCTACTTGGGGGGCTGAGACAGAACAGCTTGAACCTGGGAGGTGGAGGTCACATTAAGCCAACATCACACCACTCCACTCTTATCTCCAAAAACAAAAGAAAATTTTAGACATGCCAGGTTTTTCTTGTAAAAAATGACAAAGAGGAGAGAAGGTAGAACACAGCTAATATTGGGAAGGATATAAATAGTACTATGAAAGACTTCTGACAAAAATGTACATTGGCACAAACTTTTTCCTGGCAACATAATCTACACCCTTTGATCTTACATTTTTGAGTTTACTCTAGAAAATAAAAATATAAAAGATCTACTTCGACTACTGTGGCCAACAAGAATAGGCTAAATAATTTATAGTAAATCTATTTAATAAAATATTACATGTACATTAATATTGAAATATTTGACACAGAAAGATATTCACCATTTAAATTCAAAAAATGACCTAGGTGGAGGGTATACCAGGATAAGCAAGTAAAATAAAACGTGTACTGACAGTAGACTGAGAAAGTCTATGAAGATATACAGCAAAGCATGATCAACTTTCTCCTTTTTGCTTACCTACAATTCTACAATGTGCATATATTACCTGTTTGTTAATAGGAGTTCTTGTCTTTGACTTAATGTATACAGTTCAACGATCTTATTAACAGTTATTTGATTTGATCTGAGCCCTAGAGTTCCTGGCTGTTTTTAGTAACTTTTACCTTAAAGATCTGTTTCCACTAATTTCCTGGCAATTCAGTAATAATTGCATTAAGGTAATAACCCTCTGAACCAATTTACAAGCAAATGGATAAAATTTCTATCTATCTTTAGGGTAATTCCAACAGATAATTCCTGCATTTCTACAATGTGCATATATTACCTGTATATTGTTTGTTTTCCTTTTTTTTTTTTTTTTTTTTTACAAAACACAATTACAGGCATACCCATTTTTA